TGGTGGCAGGCGCCTGTAGTCCCAGCTACTTGGGAGGCTGAGGCAGGAGAATGGCATGAACCCGGGAGGCAGAGCTTGCAGTGAGCTGAGATCATGCCACTGCACTCCAGGCTGGGCAGCACAGTGAGACTCCATCTCAAAAAAAAAAAAAAAAAAGTCTCATGGAGGTAAAGCCCTGGCAGATTCTATCAGCAGAATCACTGGGGATGTGAAAGATGCTCACCTTTGAGTCCTAGGGAAGTTGTCCTTCTCCTGCTCTCCTAGGTTACTCACGGCATTCAGGGCTCTCTGGTTTTCAGAATCTCAGGGTCTGGTTCTTTCCCTGTCTCCACAGGTGATTTCCATGGTGATGGTGGCTGTGGGTGTCTACGCTCGACTGATGAAGCATGCAGGTGAGCTGTAGCTCTCCCTCCCTGCCCCCACCTTGTGCCATGCCCCTTCCCCCTCTGCCTCCTTCAGCCTGGCCCTCATACATAAGCTATGGTGCTGAAGGAGGCAGCCTCCCTGGAGCCAAATCTTCACGGTCTACATAGGTATCAGACCCCCTCCATACCAGTGCCCCTGGATTTCCCTGAGCCCCCCTGAGTCTTCCAGGATATGCCTATATTGGAGGCTTAGGAAGTGCCTGAGAAAGAAGCTAGGCCCCTGGGAGCAGACAGTCATTAAGGGCTTTAGCCCCTCCCCAGCTCTGTTCTGGAGAAACCCAACCACCATTCCTATTTCACCACACAAGTCTCCAGGAAACAGAATCTGCAAAGCTGGTGAGCCTAATGCCATTCTAATTCTTTTCTGGAGGGAAAGCAGCCCCTCCTGTCTTAAGCCCAGGAATAAAGGCTTTTATTTCATTAGTTTCTCAAATTAAATGCTACAACCCTTCTGGCCCCTTTTTGGTTCTCCCCCTGGGACAGGGGTACTTCCTCCGCTTAACCTTCATCCAACCATACTGGGGATTCCCCCACCAGGGGAAGGAGAACAGTTTGGGGCACCCTCCCACCCCATCCATGGGTTCCTCAGTGGGCACTGGGCTCAGGCTGAGGTCCGGCTCCTTCTCCAGAAGCAGCCCTAGCCTGCCTGGCGGTGGACCCTGCCATCCTGCTGGTCGTGGTGGGTGTCCTCATGTTCCTGCTCACCTTCTGTGGCTGCATTGGGTCCCTCCGTGAGAACATCTGCCTCCTGCAGACGGTGAGTGGTCAAGGCCCCACAGGAAAGACCCTGGCCCTCTCCCCATCATGCCTCTTAGCCTCCTAGGGCCCTTTGGTTTCCTTGTCCCACCCTACCCCCAGGCCTGTGCTGTCCACTCCTCAGTGCAGAGCTCAGCCCAGGTGACCCAGCACAGGGTGGCCACCCCCAGGACAGTGTCCCAGAGGCAGCTGCCTTTCTCATGTGTGGGGCATCTGGGAGAATTGCCTGGCAGCTCCCAGCATCCCCATGGCCCTGGGAAGGGCCGCTGCCCTGACTGGTCCCAGACGCCTCCTCTTCCTGCTGCTCCACAGTTCTCCCTCTGCCTCACCGCCGTGTTCCTGCTGCAGCTGGCCGCTGGGATCCTGGGCTTCGTCTTCTCAGACAAGGTAATGCTGGGAGCCAGGAGGCCTCCTCAGGTGTGACCCAGAGGGAGGAAGGAAAGTTCCTGCCCATGTTTAGCCTGGTTAATTAACCACAGCGCTCCTTCCCTTGAGAAACATCAGCTGTTGAAAAGTTCATTAAGGGTGAATGAACAGCCTGTAAGATCATCATATCTGAAGAGAATTTTAAGATCATAAGGTGCTTTCCTCTGACAGTCTGAGAAGCTAACGGGGAAGTAAATTATACAAACACAAAGTTAAAATAATTTAGAAACTTTAATGGCAAATGACAGAATCAAACTCAATAATCAAGTGGGCCACTCTTACTTCTTTTAAAAATTGTTTATTGAGATAAACAGAAGGAAGGAAGGAAGGGGGAAGAGAACAAGATTTTGTTTTGAGGTTTTTTCTTTTTTCTTTCTTCTTTTTTTTTGTAGGGGGGTGGCGGTTGTTGTTTTTGTCTTTTAAGAGATGGGAGTCTCACTAGGTTGCCCAGGCTGGCCTTGAACTCCTGGACTTAAGTGATCCTCCTGCCTCCATCTCCTAAGTATCTGGGATTACAGTCATGTGCCACCATGCTTGGCTTAAGAAAAGGTTTTGTTTGTTTGTTTGTTTGTTTGTTTTTAAGACGGAATCTCTCTGTCGCCCAGGCTGGAGTGCAGTGGCGCGATCTCGGCTCACTGCAAGCTCCGCCTCCCGGGTTCATGCCATTCTCCTGTCTCAGCCTCCCGAGTAGCTGGGACTACAGGCACCCACCACCACACACGGCTAATTTTTTGTATTTTTAGTAGAGACGGGGTTTCACCGTGTTAGCCAGGATGGTCTCGATCTCCTGACCTCGTGATCCACCTGCCTCGGCCTCCCAAAGTGCTGGGATTACAGGTGTGAGCCACCGCGCCCAGCCAAGAAAATGTTTTGAACAATGCTTGCCATATCTGGAAATGGTCTGCCATTCAGTGACATTCCTTTTTAAGAACCAGAATGCCTTTCCCAAAAGGCAAATGATTGCCAAGGGCAGAGTACAAAACTATGGAAAGAAAATTTGAGAAAAGTAGTGGGGCAGGAAGGAAGAGACTATGGTAGAAAATTATGAAATTGGGCCAGGCATGCTGGCTCATACCTGTAAACCCAGCATTTTGGGAGGCCGAGGTGGGCAGATCACTTGAGGCCAGGAGTTCGAGTCTAGCCTGGCCAACATGTCGAATCCCTGTCTCTACTAAAAAACACCAAATTAGCTGGGTGTCAGGAGGCTGAGGCACAAGAATCGCTTGAACCCAGGAGAAGGAGGGTGCAGTAAGCTGAGATCGTGCCACTACACTTCAGTCTGGGCGACAGTAGAACTGTGTTCTAGAGAAGAAAAAAAAGAAAAGAAAAGAGAAAAGAAGAGGGGGAGGGACAGGGAGAGAAGGGGAGGGGTAGGGACGGGAGGAGAGAAGAGAAAATTATGAAATCGAGAGCCGCTGAGTTAATTCCAAATTTTCTAGTCCTCCTGGCTTAGAAAGATCCTGAAATGATGTATTAAATAGCTGAGTCTAAAGAGATGCAATTATCTCGTGTCCACTAGAGGGCAGTGCCTCAGCTCAGTAAGCTACTTTCTGCTGAAAAATTAAAAATTAATTTGTTTTCATCAGTCAACAAGTATTTTGTGATAGTAGCATTCAGAGATAGATATGCATTGGAATATCTTGAAATGTGTCTCTGAAAAGCTTCAACAGCAGGTCCAGCATTTCTCCTGCCCACTGGTACCTGAGGGCCTTGGGATGGATGGGCTTTGGAACTGAACTGGCTATTTTCCACCATTAGGACTCAGTTCTGATTTCAAGGCAGACTCAATGAAGAAGGATGACCCCTGTCTACTGTTATTTTTGCAGGAAGGAGCAAGTTAGGGATTAGTCCTGTGTTCTGATTCCTTGCCCATGTCTCCGGCAGGCTCGAGGGAAAGTGAGTGAGATCATCAACAATGCCATTGTGCACTACCGAGATGACTTGGATCTGCAGAACCTCATTGATTTTGGCCAGAAAAAGGTATGGGTCAGCCAGTGGTCTGGGGGACTGTGGGTAAAAGTGAACGTCATCCCAAGAGATGCCTCACCCTCTGTGCCTGTGGAGCTCTTCATTACCTGCCGGGTAATGGCTTCTGGGAAGGGGTTTGGCAAGAAACCATATGTAGCAGAGTGCTTTAAATGTACTTTTAAAGACACAGAACAGTATATTTTGTAATCTACTGTGTTATAAGTGGTTACCCACAGGGGGATGAGGAACTGCGCAGATTCTTGAATATTACCTCTTTGAAAGTGACATTTTCGGCTGGTCCGAAAGGAGTGAGTTATCTCATTTGATTGTTCACAGTCAGCTACAGATCGAACTCCTTGTTCTACTCTTCCCCCCTCTCCCCATTCTCACTTCTGCACTTGACTAAACTAAAAAAAAGAAAGTTACATTTTAAAAATTGTGATAAAATTTACATAATGTAAAATTTACCATTTTTAAGCATATAGATCTGTGGCATGAAGTACCTTCAATTGTTGTGCAGCCATCACCACCCTCATCTGAACAAACACTCATCTTCCCCAGCTGAAACTCTGTATTCATCAAACACTAACTCCCCATTTTCCTCTCTTGAAACTCTGTATCCATCAAACACTAACTCCCCATTTTCCTCTCTTGCAACTTTGTATCCATTAAACACTAACTTCCCATTTTCCTCTCCTGAAACTCTGTATCCATTGAACACTAACTTCCCATTTTCCTCTCCCCCAGCAACCACTATTCTACTTTCTGTCAGTAAATTTTACAACTCTAGGTACCTCAAATGAGTGGACTTACAGTGTTAATGCTTTTTTGAGTGGCTTATTTCACTTAACATGTCTTCAAGTTTCATCTCTATTGTAGCATGTGCCACAACTTCCTTCTTTTTGAAGGCTGAATAATATTCCACTGTATGTATATGCCACATTTTGTTTATCCATTTATTCACCAGTGGAGACAAGGGTTGCTTCCACTGTTTGGCTATTGTGAACAAGGCTGCTATGAATCAAAAGTTAACATTTAGGCCAGGCATGGTAGCTTACACCTGTAATCCCAGCACTTTGGGAGGCCAAGGCAGGCAGATCATTTGAGGTCAGGAGTTTGAGACTAGCCTGGCCAACATGATGAAACCCTGTCTCCACCAAAAATACAAAAATTAGCCGAGTTTGGTGGCGCACACCTGTAGTCCCAGCTACTCAGGAGGCTGAGGTACGAGAACAGCTTGAATTTGGGAGGTAGAGGTTGCAGTGAGCTGAGATCGTGCCGTTGAACTCCAGCCTGGGTGACAGAAAGAGACTCCGTCTCAAAAATAAATAAGTAAAAAATAAAAAGTTAACTTCTCCCCCCTCCCAAGACAGAGTCTTGCTCTGTCACCTAGGCTGGAGTGCAATGGCATGATCTTGGCTCACTACAACATCCGCCTCCTGGATTCAAGTGATTCTCCCTGTCTCCGCCTCCTGAGTAGCTGGGATTATAGGTGGCCCCCAAACCACACCCAGCTAATTCTTGTATTTTTAGTAGAGATGGGGTTTTGCCATATTGGCCAGGCTGGTCTTGAACTCCTGACCTCAGGTGATCTGCCCGCCTCCGCCTCCCAAAGTGCTGGGATTACAGGCGTGAGCCAAGCACCTGGCCAAAAAAGTTAACTTTTAAGTAAAAGTGCTTTGAGACAAGTCCTGAGTTCCCTTTTCTCTGGTGCAATAGACACTTGACTTTGAGATCCAGTTTGCTCTCATGGAGTAATGATGGACTCACAATATTGAAGATTCCTCTCCTGTGTTTTCTCTATCTTAAGGAGAAGTTTTTCAGCACTGATCCTTTAATTATATCAGTCAATACTTTTGATCACTTCCATTTGCCTGCAAAGCCAAAAACTTCTCTCAAGAAGATTATAGCTGACTATGTAAAACAAAATATATGTACAACTGTAATACCAACAAGCACAGTGGTAAGTTATAACCAGATATACAAAGTAATAGAAATTAAGAAGTGAGAATATCTTCAGGCGAAGGCAACTGGGAAGCTGGAGCTGAAAGTTTCAGGCTGTGTTAAAACACAACCCGAAGTTCCCAGTGGAAGTTTCCTATAGACTTTTGGTGGCTCTGAGGATTCCCCTGGTCACCTCAGTGTGAGGGGTGGGTGATTGTTAACCTCTGGTGGGTTTTGTTGCAGTTTAGCTGCTGTGGAGGGATTTCCTACAAGGACTGGTCCCAGAACATGTATTTCAACTGCTCAGAAGACAACCCCAGTCGAGAGCGCTGCTCTGTGCCTTACTCCTGTTGCTTGCCTACCCCTGACCAGGTAAGCCAGCATCCCACCTCACTTCCTCCTGGGCAGCGAGCTGAGTCACTTTCTGATGGGGGCAGCTTCTATTGGGAATCCCCATCCCCTAGCTTAACCAGTCATGTGGGACAGGTGTCGGGTGTTTTCATTCACCCCAGCCTGATGCTTCTGTTAACCTTGCACTCCTGTAGCCCACATGGAGTTCAGAAGGTACAGATTTAACTTTTAAGTGCAGGTTCAGTACCTGTGCAGATTTGTTACATAAGTAAACTTGTGTCTTGGCGGTTTGTTGTACAGATTATTCCACCACCCAGAGCAAAGAGACCTGGACCCTGACCTCTCACAGGAAGGGAAGTCTGCATTTGGCAACTTCCAACCCTACATCCTCCACACATATTCTCTGACAATTTAGGAGTTTAGGAAGGGTGTTCCGGAAGCCCATCAGCTAGGAGTTTAGGAAGGGTGTTCCGGAAGCCCATCAGCTAAGGCCCCAAACAAAAAGTTATTGGAATTAGAGTCCCAACTGGCTTTTCAACTCTTTCCCCAGGCAGTGATCAACACTATGTGTGGCCAAGGTATGCAGGCCTTTGACTACTTGGAAGCTAGCAAAGTCATCTACACCAATGGCTGTATTGACAAGTTGGTCAACTGGATACACAGCAACTTATTCTTACTTGGTGGTGTGGCTCTAGGCCTGGCCATCCCCCAGGTAACTTACCCTGTAAGACCTGTGGGTCCCACACACTCTGTAAAGACTCCTTTGTTTTGGGGAAGGCCCCCGGGGATCAGCGAGGGTGTCAGGCACTGACATGGCTGAGGGTGGGGAAAGGGATAGTGCTGGCCGCACTGGAAAGATCGAGCCAGGGAAAACAAGGCCATCACTCACTGCTGAGGGCCCAATTCCTTCTTGCCTCTCCCAGCTGGTGGGAATTCTGCTGTCCCAGATCCTAGTGAATCAGATCAAAGATCAGATCAAGCTACAGCTCTACAACCAGCAGCACCGGGCTGACCCATGGTACTGAGAATCCATCCTGCACCTCCTCACCATGGCAACTGGCAAGCCTCATCAACCAACAGCAGCGGGTGCTGAGAACAGCACCAAATGGAGATTTGGATTCCAGCCCCCCAAGTGACAGCCCAGTGGGAAGAAGCAAACTCCAGATGGGCAGAAGGCAGGGTACACAGGTGGCTCCGGTCTCAGGAGGATGCGCCCCCTCTCCCCCATCCCAGCCCTCAGCATTGTGTGAGAGTGATTCCCTTAAGTGTTTGGGTTTATGTTTTTAGTTTTGTTTGGGAAACAGCAGTTGCACCTGTCTCTTATACACATCTAGATGTGTATAAGAGACAGGGAGAGGACAGTTAAAAAGCGCGCTTTCTTGCTAACTTGCCTTTCTTGCTTAGTGCCAGAGACGTGCACTTTATAAACTTCTTTAAGTGACACG